ATAAATTAGTTCGTTTTTAAAATTCAATTAAATCATAATAAAAATTGAATTAAAGAAATTACAAAAAAAAACTTTTAAATAGTTAATTTGATATTAATATCGCTTATTTTTATCAAAATTTTATAACATCTTCAAATTTATATTTCATTCAAAAATTAAAAACATTTTTTTTTCTCAAAACCACATAAAATCATATTATAATATTGATAGACTCAAAATATAAAAGAAAACATTAAAATTAAGATGTATCTCGCTACATTCTGCGAGTACCCTTCTATTTAATCTTAGGGTATTTTTGGCAGTTGCTAAATGTTTTGATACAAAATAAGTAATCATAATGAGTAAGAGACTATGTATGATTCAGTGTAGAATAAAAATTGATTGTTTGGTAAAATGTGCCGTTTGAATGGTATAAAATTACTGTTTTAACCTTATGTATGATTTAGTAATAAATGAAAATTTAATTGCTAGATAAATGTGAACCCCCTACTTAAAGTTAGATTCCAAGAAATACTTTAATACATTAGATTCAATATATAAAGAAAATGGACAAGACTTCCTTATAATGTATAGTTCATGTCCATGCCAATGGCACTTGAGAATAGTAAGGGCCAAATCGGCCCGGTCCAACCCGGGATCGTCGGGGGATTGGCAAAGGACCGGTCCGGGACCGAGACCGGTTATGGGATCGAAAACCGGGATCGGTTGGGGTTTTTGGTAGTTTCGTGGGACTGGAACCGACCGGGACCGGTTATGGGACCGGCTATGGACCGGCCCGGCCCTAAAATTCAAATAATTTTATAAATAAATGTATTCTTAAATAATTTTATAATGTATTTTTATAAGACAATGTAATTTTTATTATATTAAAACATATTTTTAAAATGTATTTCAATGACTCAATTGTAAATTTTGTAATGTATTAAAAATATATATCATTAAAAAAAATCTTATTTTTTAATGCCGGGACGGGCGGCCCATAACCGATTATGAAGGACCTTGGGACCGGTTACGCCGGGACCGGTTATGAGAAAGCTTAGGACCGATTGAGACCGACTCATCTTGGGATGATATACATGATAGATAAGTGATATTTTATAGGAGGGTAATTGTGGAAAATGGTTTCCTCGGAATGATATGACAAGGCTTCAAAGAATGGACGAACGGTTCAAAGGGTCAACAAATTTGTCAAACAACCTTTGATCTCTGATCGAACCAGAGGCTTACTTCTTAATAGAACCATTAAAAGGTAAACAAACAACCCTTATATGCAAAAAATTGTCGAATAATCCAAAAAAGAACACGTTACGGTATGTTTTCTTAAATAAAACTTCTTTAATTTAAAAGTAAATATAAGATGAAATCGATTTTTATAAAAGCAAAGATGAGGTTGGATAGTAAAATGCAAAATATAAACATATAAAAAATAATAATAAAATAGATTTTTTTATTCATAAAAAAGTTGATCGAGATGTGGGTAACATGCAAAAACCATGTGTTTAACATCTTCAAGAGAAAACTATAAATTTGATTCTTGTGGTTTGTTAAAAATAACATTATTTGTTTCTATAGTTTTAAAATTATAAGATTGTTATCATCAGTGGTGGATCCATGATTTTTGTTTAGCGGGGTCATCTTTAAGATAGACTAAAGACTCGCAAAATTGTCCGATGTGTTTTTAACCTAATTACAACGCTTTCGAGGGAATTTTAAAGTTTTTTGGTTGATTTCGAGAGATTTTTTTAGTATTTTTGTCGATTTCGAATAACTTTTTTGGTTTTTTTTTTATTGATTTCAACAGATTTTTTTTGTTAGGAGTAACAGTTTCGTTGGGATTGGGTCCCCCATGGAAAAATGTAATGGGGGAAGTAAAAGATAAATCATGTAAAACCTATAATCTTTTTTTTTTTTGAATTTTTGACTGAGGTCCCTTCCCCCTCCTTTTTACATTGCATCCGCCCCTGGTTATCATGATCTATAAAAACCGTTTGGATTTTTTTCCCTTTTATCTGACTATTAAAAATTCCATTAACTAAACAACATTTTCATTATTTTATCAATTTTTTTTTGTTTTTCACCCAATCAAAAAACACAAGAACCAAAATTATGGAATCGTTTTTTATAAAAAACAAAAAATCGATAAAAGAGCTAAAAATGTCTTTTATTTAACGGAATTATTTAACTGGCGCTAAAAGAACAGACCAGATCTATGTGTTTTTTGTAAAACACGATGGTCATCTTATAATTTCAAAAATACAGATACACCACAAGTAGCAAATTTGTAGTTATAACTCTTGTATTAATCAATGTTTACTTTGCCTCCTAGGAGGCAGAAAAATTAGCTCTGTTTTTTATGATTTTTTTTTCAATTTTAATTACAATAAAAAATTATTTGTAACATATTTAGATCTTGGGGAATGATTGGTTTTGCATAGTAGAGGGCAAGTAACAAGAAGAGATAATGATAGATCTAATATATAATGCAATGAATGATGTTTAAAAATGAATAACCATTCATGCTTAAATTGGGGGAAATAACTTCATTTTTTTTTTTATTAATCTGAATATTCAATTCGTTATGTAAGCCAACTAATTTTAGGACGACCACCTGGTTTGCTCTAATATTCCCTTTTATTATCAGAGAGGAGATAGAAATTTTTTCAAATAGTGACACCATTTGACTAGGAAAAACGAGGTATGGTTATATTTTATAAATTCATTGTTGATTCGTTGGTTAGTTCTTTGTTCTTTTGTACATGAGGCCCTGTCTATGTTCATGTCGTGTATTTTAAAATTATTTAGAAAGATAATAAACCTGAAATAAAAAGCTAAAAACTAAGAAATAATACAAATGAGAGTCGAACCCATGTCTGGATGAGGTGAAAAGACCATGCAACCTATCCTACCAATATAAACTTGTGTTATTATTGTAGTTTAAAAGAATGTACTGTTACACCCAACAAAATAATACGGTAAAACCTTTTACGATCTTAAAATCTTTTACACTATGACGAAGGAACGAAATAGTGGCCCTGTGTCACGGGATGCACCATAGTGGATCCATTTTCATTACCTTAAAACAAACCAAAGCACATACTTATGGTCCGTTTACCAAACACTTACTCAGTAAATGCTTAAGGGTAAAATTTAACTCAGTCATTTACTTACCGAGTAAGATTTTAGTCCACCAAAACGACATCGTATGCAACAATTTACCCAGTAAGCGCTTACCGTGGTAAAAGTTATCGCCCCCACTTACCTGGTAAGACTCTTGGTCCTTGTCTCATTCTTAGCGGGTAAGATTCTTGGTCCTTACCATATTCATCCGGTGAGGTAACGTGACTTGATAAGCACTTATCTAGATAAGCGTTTGGTAAACGGCCCCATTATCGATTGAAACATTCAATCATCATTTTTTTTTCTTTTTGGGGATTAAAGAATACAACATACGATCTCCAGCTTCATAAAGACGAAAACTTGGCAGGTTTACCAAGAGTTAACGGAAGTCAGCCAGCAACCTTATGAACGAATAGCATGATGCAATTAATACGGAAAACTTAGTGTGAGATCATGTGGAAATTTCACCTCTAACTATGAAATACGAATGCTCCCGACTGTCCATGTTAATCATTACTCCGATCCCGAAGGCCAACGTAATAGGACCGAAATCCTATTAATAAATGCATCCCTTCCAAAAGTCGGGGTTTGTTGCACGTATTAGCTCTAGAATTACTAGCAGATACCATCAAACAAACTACCTATTAGATTACTCTCCAAAAGAGACTTTTAAAATAGAAAAGAGGTTTCCAACATATATAAAGGTGAAATCTTTCAAGTCTAACCGAGATTGTAACACTTAGGTACGACGTCAAATGCACACAGCCATTGAAACATGTAATGAGTGCCATATCCTCCCATTCCCTGATCGGTAACGTATGCAGTGAGCGAGATAACAATCTTTAATACATCTACCAGATTCATAAAGTAATTGCATCCGGGAATTCATCGGGAGAGTTCAGCTTCGCAAGGATCTGCTTTTCTTGCATCACATCTGCAGCTTTGGTCAAGGGATTCACAAAATACCTCACTACATTTTACACACTTTTCACAAGCAAGGGGTTTTCACGAAAACAGCCGCCCTGTTTATTTTTTTCCTAAAGTATATAACATTTATACAAGGCAAATGCAACAAATAAACTCGCACCCACCTCACTTTTGGTTACAGGACTGCATATATCTCACCCCCTAGACCCCACCTCCAGATGAGATATATTGGCTCTTTTGGTTTAGCTTGGTTTTAGCAGTACACACCTGGATCTATTCATCGAAAAAGCATGAGTTTGCGAGGCATGGGGAGAAAATTATCTCTACGCGTTCTTTTCTATTCGAGAGCTTATATCTTTCTCTGCAACTACTTTTAGTTCGAATATTTTTAATCTTTTAGTAGAAAAAGAAAAATGCAGAATTACCAGAAAAAGAATCACCTTGTTTCGCACATAGTATGGGCTAGAAGGAAAAGGATACATTGTTGATCAGGGTTATCAGTAAAATTCGAGTGCAACGCATTCCCAGCACTATCAACAATAGCTGATGTTGTCATGGATGACTCGATGCATAGAATCGCTGTGATGGCATCTAATCGTGTGACTTCATTTCTGAACATCAATCTTGCATGTGCTGCAATGGTAATATGGCAATACACCATTCAAGTTATTTACAAGAATAACCTTCTGACCTAATTATTTAAATGCATGATCATCTGATAGATTTAAGAACGTATCTGCCTAACACAAGATGTATCTTCCTAACACAAGAGTGCCTCAAAACATATCAGAAGGTTATTCATTTATAAAAAAACATATCAGATGGTTATTCTCTTAAAAAATCTGACACAACTCCAACCGACTCAGCTAAAGATAATGCTGGATGATAAACTTTGCAAGGGGTAAAACCGTAAAAGTTGTACCTTGAGCAAGTCGGATTAAACTCTCGAGCATTCGGACAGTGGTCCTTGCTGCATTCAGAAAAGAGATTAGACATGATATTAAGAGATAGCAACATAGAAAGAATCTGGAAGGCAAGTGTGAAACCTGCATTTTCTTTTCCTGTTCTTCTTTGGAGTTGATAATATCTTGAGATAACACTTTCTGCCTCTTTAGTCAGAGTTGGCCTAAAATACCCTTTTACAAAGTGAATATACCTGCAGGATGGTGTCAGAGTTACAAAGACTCTTGACTACATAACTACAGCATTCCATATTGTGGGGCCCCATACATTCACATTTTCATCTATTTACACCATATATATATAAGCCAAAAATCCCAAAATTAGTATGTTGTAATGTTAAATGGCCTAAATGAATAGACCTTTGCATTTTTCCCTACAAATATGTCGATGTCATTGCCAGCTACTCCAGAAATGATTTTGAGATGGATTGACCATATGGAAATAATTTATGGTATTCTGTTAATCCAAACTAATGATGCTGTGGGGTGCACTCTGTAAATCTGTTAGCTTGCAGTTGCTGACATCTTTAAATACAAAAAGCTTTTTTAAACATAAAGAGTCTTCATGACATTTCAAATGGGTACTAAAAGACATACCAGACCGGGAAGAGCATTGTATAAATAATGTTAGGAAGCAAGATGTAACCAAATGAATCCAGCAGACGTGTAATGTATATAAAAATAATTAATATAGTAACTAGAAGAAAAATTTATACAAATGACCACTCTTCTTTCCATAATACCATTATTTTTGTTCTTTATGAGTCCCATAATTCATGTTAATCATGGAGAAACACAGAACAAGCCTTTTATCCAAACTAGAGAAATACGGAAGTGATATATATTTGAAATCATACCTCCTGAGCATGGAAAGGGGCCACATTTTACCGAGATCTTCATGACATTTGTCCTTCTCTGGTTCTGCCTGCCCATGGAGACCCCTTTCCAGATTTAACCATATGCTTATTATGAATAGAGCATGTGCAACATTATATAGTTTAGTTGGTACCTGATCAAGAATATGATCTGAGACAACTTTATCCCAGTCTGGATTCTTTGTGTCCAAGAGAACCAGGACTATGTCAAATCTGCTTATTAAAGGCCCAGATAAAGTGGTGTTGATGGACAGAGCTGAACTTTGTTAAGATATTCAATGCAGAGAAGAAAAAATCACATCAAAAATTACACATTGAGTTGCTTTATGACATGGGAAGGTTATTAAGAAGCATGAGTTCCAAAATATTTGAATCTGCCTTGCTAAAACATGCTGATAATGGGTGAACTTGGTTTGCTTTTGGCGGGTTTTTAGATCCGTGTTGATGTGTCCTGTTTTTTGAAGTAGGACACCGCCAACCCACCAGAACCATGGAGGTTTGGTGGTTGTGGTTTTCTGGGCCGGTTTTGGCAGTTTAGGCAAGTTGGGTTTCTAGTGTTGGGCACAACATTTTGGACCATCACTAGTCTAAATGGGTCCTAAATTTTTCTATTAACCGTGACGCTTAATTTTTATGTTCATTACTTCAAGTTAATTCCATTCATAAAATTAATGGATATAATAGAAAACAAACAAAATTTACAGATATAAACAAGAACCAAAATTCGAAAACTAGAATAACATCAAATCTACCAAAAAAAGACTTAAACTTTCAGACTTTCTTAATTTGAAATTTCATGATAGAATAAATATGTATAGATAATATCAGTTCAGCTCAGTTTCAGTTTCAACTGATAAAACCTAAAAATCGAAACACCGGAACCAAATACGAACCACACAACACAAACCTTCAGCTTTGGTGCAAATTTCAGTTTTCAGTTTTGTGTTGACCCCTACCAAGCTTTCAAACTCTTGCTTTTGTGAGACAGATAAAAGTTACAAATGAAGCACTGAATATGTGAAGTACTTGGCATAATCTACCTGAATGAGACAAGCTCATTTTGTCTTTAATACTAGATTTGTAAATAAACTAGGCTTCTAAAGTTCCTTTCTCAGGGTCAGTCCATGCCATCTTATATTAAGTTGTGTTTTTCCCACCATCTTGGACATTGTGGGATTTGGAATCCAACATTAAGAAACAAATTATATAGTGAGAATAAGAAAAGAACACTGTATATCACAGAAATGAAGAGTAACATATACGAGTTCCAAGAAAAATGATACATTGCTCAGGATCATAGCGGCCTTTTGGATTTGTGGCACCAAAGACTATAGTTCTTGTACTGAGAGTAGTTACAAGACCCGCCTGAAAATAGAACAGGTTATTATGAAGTCAAGGTCTGCTCAACCATATAAGCAGTTTTACATAAGCCAACTACTAACTAAAAAAACCAAACAACGATCAGGATAAAGAAAATAAAATTACATCATTCCTTTAAGGTTTTTGTCATAGTTGAAGAGTCATAAAAGAACAATGATCTTAGCTGTTTACATAAAATGAACAAGAATGATAAAGTGTTCAGGACCAAACGTTTAAATACCAGGGGTCCAAATTTTAAGTTTTTTGAGTCTAAAAATTAAATCTTGTGGAGCAACTGCAATTCTGGTGCACTGTTAACCTTGTTAGCTCAATATATAGATGCATCAAACTATGGTCTCAAGAAAAGGAAACACCATACATTTCTTCATAAATATAAATATAAAACATGCACTTGGACTTCCATATAGCAAGTATGTTGGAACAAATTTCAAAATTAAGTAAATAGGTTCAAGTATTTTGGGTTGAGTCTTAGAAAGAAGAGAAGATTTGGATTTGGTGGGTTTCACCTTATCCCACATAGGTGAAAGAGTGGAACAAAAGTGGGTATATAAGTGGAACAATTTTCTTAGAGATGACAATAAACTAATGCTATCCAAGTCTCACTATATTGAAAAGATATTAAAGCGTTCTAATAAATTTGACTGCTTACATGTAGTACTCCATTCGAAGTAGGTTCTAGATTAACAATGAATACTGGAAGAGTTTTGCTCAAAATGAATATGCTAAAGTTATTGGTAGTTTAATGTATGCTATGACATGTACTAGACCTGATATCACCTATGTCGTAGGAAGATTAAGTAGGCACACAAGTAAACCGGAAAAAGCACATTGAGATGTTGTAAATCGGGTTCTCAAGTACTTAAAGAAAACCATGGATTATGGTTTGGAATATAGTGGATATCCTTCAGTATTGGAAGGATACACTGATGCAAGTTAGATAAATGATCAGGAAGACTACACATACACAAGTGGTTGGATTTTCACACTTGGTGGGGGTGCAGTGTCTTAGGGATCAAAGAAACAAAGTTGCATAACAAATTCTACTATGGCAGCGGAATTGTTGCTTTAGTTTCTTGTTGTAAAGAAGCAGAATGGTTAAGGGACTTGTTGATCAACATGCCCTTATGGCCAAAGCCAATGCCGCCAATTTATCTACACTGTGATAGTGCATCTACACTATCAAGGGCATACAACCAAGTGTATAACGGTAAGTCCAGGCATATTGGACTTAGACATAGACAAGTAAATCAGTAAATAAATGATGGGGTGATCACCATTAGCTTCTTACGATCAAGTAAGAACTTAGCAAATCCTTTCACAAAAGGATTACCAAGAAAACTGATTGAAAGCACTTCAAAAGGGATGGGACTCAAGCCCACCTATAAATAGTCACCCATGATGGAACCTTGTCTTCAAGCTTGGTATTTCACCAAGACTCAAGATTAAGTTAAAGTACATCATTCGAATGTGGCTGAAAGTTCTGCAAAGTTTTGAAAACCATCCCAAGTCAGCAGAACTTGGCACCGTAATGTAAGGACAGGTTGAATTTAGTTCTTAATGGACTCGTAACACATTTTGTGTTGGAGTGTTTGAGTTACGGGAACACTCTTGACAAGGTCCACCTATCTGAATGTGGAAGTGAGGCCGCTTCCTATGATCTAAAAGGCTTGGCTCTAAAAACATTCTAAGAAATCAAGATATAGACCCATGGCCAGTCATCGGATCAGCTTATAGTGATTGGATGAATGAGAGGAAACTATGCGTGAGGCGTTTCCGTCTAACATATAAAAGAAGATGGTTCAATGACTTCGGTTCAACCATTCTTATCCTAGTTAGACTTGAGCACTTTCACTATGTAAAGGTTCAAGGTGCAAGACTCCACCTTTACTTATGCATAACACCCCCAAGAATTTTGGAATTTATTTAGGTCCAGTCGTGTCGATCTCTTTTACAAAAATAAGTCTATTATAAAAATGGTGGGGGTTTGTTGGAATTTTTTTCAAAATTAAGTAAATAGGTTCAAGTGTTTTGGGTTGAGTCTTAGGAAGAAGAGAAAATTTGGATTTGGTGGGTTTCACCTTATCCCACATAGGTGAAAGAGTGGAACAAAAGTGGGTATACAAGTGGAACAATTTGCTATATATTAATTTAATATATATTGGAAATGGTGGGGGTCTACATAATTATTTTTGACAGTTTTATAAGTGACATATCGTGACGGTTCATATAACACTTGTATGCATTATGAACCATTGTGATGGTTCAATTGGTGGTTAGCGACTGTTGATACAAAGGCACCTGCTTGAACAGTCGTGACGCTTTGAAGCATCACGAGTAGTAACTGTTGGTGCTGTTTGAATAGTTGCAACGGTTCAGACCGTCGCGAAAGGTAAAAAACTGTCAATTCGTGACAGTTCATGTTGGTGATTTGTATCAGTAATATCATTTAAGTGTAATGGGATTAATTTGTTGACCAATGTAATCATGATAAATATCGAACAAGTAAGGAAGGTGCGGAGTGCACACTTGTTTGAGTTTATTTTGATTTAGGGGCGAAGTCCCTAACCGACGGGGGTCCGGGGGCAGCTCCCCCGGTGGGAGGGTCCAAGGGGCAGAGCCCTCGCTGGAGTCGAAAAATGCTTCAAAAATCCGAATTTGAAATTTTAAACCCGATTTAGGGTTCAAAAACTGCCGTGTTTGACAGTTTTCTTTTTTTCAATTTCGAATTGGTCATTTGATTTTGGAAGGTACACAGATTCATAACAATTGATTCTCTGTTCGAAAACCATTGAATTTTATGCGATTGAAATTTCGATTGTACCATCGAAATACTTCAATCTGAAAGTGATACACGACTTTCAGTGGAATCCAAGCAATCGAAAACCAGAATTTCTAACAAAGATTGAAGTACTCTGTGAAAATGGCAGACAAAGAATCTGTGAAGGACATGACAAGCAAATTCGATAAACTGTCGAAATTTGAAGGGCAAGATTTCCGTAGATGGCAGAAGAAGATGCATTTCCTTCTCACTACCCTGAAAGTGGTGTACGTTCTGATTACCTTTGTGCCTGAATACGTTGAAGATGAAACTCTGGAAGTGTCAAGGAGGAGATCGAAATGGGAAAACGATGACTACATCTGTCGTGGCCACATCTTAAACGGTATGTCTGACTCTTTATTTGATGTTTATCAGAATGTTGAATCTGCAWAGGAACTGTGGGATACTCTGGAATCCAAGTATATGGCAGAAGATGCTTCTAGCAAGAAGTTTCTGGTCGGTAATTTCATGAATTACAAGATGGTCGATACCAGGTCTGTAATGGAACAATATCATGAATTGTTGAGGATTCTGGGACAATTTGTCCAACATAATCTGAAGATGGATGAAGCCATCTTGGTTGCTATGATTTTTGACAAATTGCCTCCTTCCTGGAAAGAGTTTAAACATACTCTAAAACATAACAAGGAAGAATTGACTCTGGTTCAACTTGGAAGTCACTTTAGGATTGAAGAGTCTTTGAGGACTCAAGAACTTAATAATAATCCTAAAGGTAAGAATCAAGTTGGTTCTTCTTCTGTGAACATGGTGGAAGGTGATGGGTCCAAGTATTCCAACAAGTTTAGAAACAACAAAAGGAAACACAAAGGTGGAGATGACAAGTTTTCCAACAAAAACCCTAAACTGGTATGTTGGAAGTGTGGTAAACCTGGTCATTTCAAGAAGGATTGTCGTGTTCGTAAAGTGAACAAAGATGGGGCTGATCCAAGTGGGTCTAAGGATCCAGAAAAGCAACAAGGTCAGAATTGTGATTTAGTACACAATCTAAATTATGTTCAGAATTATATTTCTGTAATTTCCGAGGCATTTTATGTGCAGGATGATGATGTTGCTTGGTGGGTTGATTCTGGTGCAACAAGTCATGTTTGCAAAGATCTTCGTTGGTTTAAAGAATGTCAACCAATTGAAGATGGATCTGTCGTTAAGATGGATCTGTCGTGAAGATGGATCTGTCGTGAAGATGGGCAACGTTGCGACGGAATCACTCAAGGGATTAGGACGTGTATTACTTAAGTTCACTTCTGAAAAATGTTTATGTTTAGACAATGTATTGTATGTACCGGGGATTCGAAAGAACCTCTTATCTAAAATTGTGTTGAATAAGGTGTGGCTACAAACAAGTGTTGGAAAGTGACAAGTATATCTTGTCAAGACATGGTACTTTTGTTGGATTTGGTTATGTATGTAATGGTATGATTAGGTTGAATCTAGATTATCCTTCTTATGTTAATTTTGTTTGCATGATGACATCTAGTATTAGCAATAACTTAAGTAAATCATTTTATGGCATGCTAGACTAGGACATGTTCATTATAAAATATTAAAGGATATGTCTAAAATGAGTTTAATACCTGCTTTTGACATGAATAATGAAAAGTGTAAAACTTGCATGTTAACCAAGATTACTAGACAACCTTTTAAGGATGTTAATAGAGAAAACAAAGTATTAGAACTCATTCATAGTGATTTATTTGATTTTCATGCTACACCTTCACTAGGAAATAAAAAGTATGTCATTACTTTTATTGATGATGCATCTAGATATTGTTATGTCTATTTGGTGCACACAAAGGATGAAGCTCTTGATAAATTTAAAATTTATAAACAAGAAGTAGAGCTACATAGAAATGAGTTGATAAAAGTTTTGCGTACTAATAGAGGTGGTGAGTATTATGATCCAGTTTATTTCGAATCTACTGGTATAACACATCAAACCAAGGCTCCTTATACACAACAACAAAATGGTGTGCTGAAAGAAAGAATAGAACCTTGAAGGAAATGGTTAATTCCATGTTGTCCTATTCTGGCCTAAGTGATGGGTTTTGGGGTGAGGCTATGTTGACAGCATGTTATATATTGAATAGAACTCCAAATAAAAGAAGTAAAAATACCCCTTATGAAATTTGGTATAAAAAGGTACCAAATTTGAGTTATCTCAAAGTTTGGGGTTGTAGAGCAGTTGTAAGGCTCACTGAACCCAAACGGAAAAACTTAGGTGAGAAAGGTATAGATTGTATCTTCATTGGGTATGCCGAGCATTCCAAAGCATATAGATTCTATGTTATAGAATCTAATGACTCTGTGTCAGTTAACACTGTTATAGAGTCAAGAGATGTTATATTTGATGAAGAGACATTTACATCTATACCTAGACCGAGGGACATGATTCATTCCGGCAAAACTACAACTCAAGCTGAAAATGTGTGTGGTGGTACAGATTCTGTACCTGGACCGTCTGAACCTAGGAAAAGCACTAGAGCTAGAAAAGCTAAGTCTTTTGGATCTGATTTTCAACTTTATCTAGTTGAAGGAACAAGAGATGAGACCGTGTCTCAACATCAATATTGTTTTATTATTAAGGACGATCCAAAGACTTTTAGTGAAGCCATGGGATCTAGGGATGTTGCTTTCTGGAAAGAAGCAATCCAGGATGAGATTGATTCTATCATGCATAATAATACCTGGGTTTTGACTGATTTGCCTCATTTGCCTCCTGGTTGCAAAGCATTAGGATGTAAATGGATCCTCAAAAGAAAGATGAAAGTGGATGGTACCATAGATAAGTACAAAGCCAGATTGGTTATCCAAGGCTTTAGGCAAAAAGAAGGTATCGACTTCTTTGATACTTATGCTCCTGTTGCTAGGATTTCCACTATAAGATTGTAGTTGGCTCTTGCAGCTATACATAATCTTGTAATTCATCAAATGGAAGTAAAAACTGCATTCTTGAATGGTGAATTGGATGAGGAGATTTACATGAAACAACCTGAAGGGTTTGTGATGCATGGAAATGAAAACAAGATGCGCAAGTTGAAGAAGTCATTGTATGGTCTGAAACAAGCACCAAAACAATGGCATCAAAAGTTTGATGATGTGGTCTTATCTAATGGTTTTGCACTAAACCAAGCTGATAAGTGTGTATATAGCAAATTTGATACTTCTGGTAAAGGAGTTATAATTTGTTTATATGTAGATGATATGCTGATCTTTGGTATTGATCAAGATCAAGATCAAGTTGATAAAACCAAGAAGTTCTTGTCATCTAGTTTTGATATGAAAGACCTGGGGGAGGCTGAGGTGATTCTTGGAATAAGAATCAAACAAGGAAACAATAGAATTTCAATTTCTCAATCTCATTATATTGAGAAGATATGGAAAAAATTTAACTTTGAAAATTGTTCTCCCGTTAGCACTCGTGTAGATCCTAATCTTAAACTTCTACCTAATAAAGGTGTTCCAGTTTCTCAGCTTGAATACTCAAGAGCTATTGGATGTCTTATGTATGCCATGATTAGCACTAGGCCCAATATAGCATATGTTGTAGGTAAGCGTAGTAGGTATACTAGTAATCCTAGTTCACATCATTGGCAAGCTTTAAGTCGAGTATTCAAGTACTTGAAAGGAACCATGGATTATGGTTGGACATATAGTGGATTTCCTTTGGTTTTAGAAGGTTATTCAGATGCCAGCTAGATTACAAATTTGGAGGATCACTCTTCTACGAGTGGTTGGGTTTTCCTTCTTGGAGGAGGTGCCATTTGTTGGGCTTCCAAGAAACAGACTTGTATTACAAACTCAACAATGGAGTCTGAATTTGTGGCATTGGCTACAACTGGTCAAGAAGCTGAGTGGCTAAGGAATTTGATATATGAAATTCCATTATGGCCCAAACCAATATCTACCAATTCTATCCGGTGTGATAGTGCTGCTACCTTGGCTAAGGCTTATAGTCAAGTGTATAATGGGAAGTCTAGACATTTAGGTGTTAGACATAGCATGATTCGTGAGCTCATCATGAGTGGTGTGATATCGGTAGAGTTTGTGAGAACTCAGTTGAATTTAGCCGATCATCTAACCAAAAGGTTAGCTAGAGATCTTGTGCACAAGGCGGCTGTGGGGATGGGTTTAAAGTCCACCTGAAATCTTTCATATTAAGATACCCAATTCCCATCTAATGTAATGTTAGATGTTGAATTCAATGTGGACAACTTGATATCTAAAGATTGGAACACATTATTAGCGTCCTCCCAAGGTATGTGTTCAGAACTGCAAGTAAAGGAGATTGAAATTATATTTCTTAATAGTTCTTTTGAAAAATTGCATATGCAGATGCAAGAGTAAGAGAACTACCTATATAAGCATGAAGTTTAGCCGCTTCAAGAAGTTTGGGACTTAGCTTTGATATGCTTATTGAAGGATAGGACACAGGCTAGTAAAATATAGTGTCAAGTTAGAACATATGAGTATGTAAACTGTTGTGTATATTATCTTTCATGAATTCATTGTGAATAGAAAGAGTTCAATCCTTAGTGACACCCCGATATTCGAATATTTGAAATGAGTAGTATACTAATGTGAAATTCAATCGTCATGACATTTCATTTATGCATCATTTAGTTTTTGTTATGGCTTTGATTTAAGTTAATCAAGATTACACTTAAATGGGGGAGGATTGTTGGTGATTTGTATCAGTAATATCATTTAAGTGTAATGGCATTAATTTGTTGACCAACGTAATCATGATAGATATTGAACAAGCAAGGAAGGTGCGGAGTGCACACTTGTTTGAGTTTATTTTGATTTAGGGGCGAGGCCCCTAAACGACGTGGGTCTGGGGAAGCGCCCCCACGAGGTCCAAGGGGCGGCAGCTCCTGGCAGGGTCCAAGGGGCAGAGCCGGTTAAGAGTAATATTGCTTTATGAAAAATGCTTCAAAAATCCGAATTTGAAATTTTAAACCCGGTTTTTTAAACCCGGTTTAGGGTTCAAAAACTGTCGTTTTTGACAGTTTTCGTTTTTTCATTTTCGAACTGGTCATTTGATTTTGGAAGGTACACAGATTCATAACAATTGATTCTCTGTTCGAAAACCGCTGAATTTTATCCGATTGAAATTTCAATTGTCCCATCGAAATACTTCAAGCTGAAAGTGATACACGACTTTCAGTGGGAATCCAAGCAATCGAAAACCAGAATTTCTAATAGTTCAAAGGGTTGTCACTTATACCTATATATACCTACTTATAGACACCAAAAATAATCTTCTTTTCATATACAAAATTAACCTAAAAGTATTTTGCTATAGAATCATACTTTTAGGCTTCTTGAAATCCTTGATTACTCAATATTCTGATCAGGATTATCACCATTTTGTGCGGTGTTGATAATCAATCTACATACGTTGCTTCATTGTATCTTGAGAAGGAATTCGCCATAACCCAAAGCACCTATGGTGGGGGCGAAATTGCTTCAAGAATAGAGAGTTTACTCACCTTGAGCAATAAGTAGTAGATTTAATTTTAGTCATTTATGCCTCTAGTTTAGAACCCCGAAAATAACAAAGTATATACATATGACCAAGAAAACAGAGCTCTTCAGCCTTATGCTGTGGCATAGACAAAAGTTCGAAACTGAGAAACTATGCTCACAAGTAGATAGTATTTTGAAGATAAAGGATACCTTAGCCACACTTATTGTCTGCTGCTCCATTGCCTCATGTATAGTCGCTCTATCATGTTCCCTCATGCTGTCAAACAAAAAGCTGCTTTATTTAATATACAAAGCTTAATATATGTTTTGTAACAATTAGAACAGAATATTCTGCATTCTAAGCTTTCAGCAGCAGCAGCAAAGTGAATGGGCAGACAGTTGTTTACCAAAGTGGATACCTAAATTTTTGAAAAGCTTGCAGGGAAGTAATATGTTTGATATGATCCCTAAGTCACTCCATTATCTTTTTTCTTCAGTTTAGGATCTTCAAGACCTTATCTTAGTTATGTTCCATACACAACTACTTACTGTTTATGGATCATCATACTCATTGTATAAGTATAATCAAATATGCCTATTGATTTCTGGTCCACCAGAAGTATATACTGGTTAACTATTCATACTAACTTTTGTGGAATTCCTTTCTATGCTGTTAAGCGTGGCATAATAGCAGTGCAATAGAGGTTATTGGTCATAACAAAAATACCGGTGGTAAATTGTGGTTCCGAGAATAGTGGCTCAATTACCACTATTTCACAGACACTTGAGGTAAAATAGCAGTCCGCAATACCGATATTCTCAGTTGGGCCTCCTTTGAATCTAATGCTTACATTTGTCCTTTTTGGGGATTTTATTTTGATTTGGGCCCTTATGTTATTTTAATCCATTAACAGTCAACAAATTGCATCCAGCATCCAATTTAGAAATTCTTAGGTTTTCAATTTCTTTCTATCATCATTGACAGTCAACCCAAGTTGGATATTCGAGTTTTCTTTCCAGCCTCACTTGACGTCTAGACAGTGGCAGCCTCCACCTTCTTCGTTGACACCTCCTCCAGCCTCCTCCCCATCAATACCTCCTCCAGTCCAGCCACGAGTATCACTCAACAGCTGCTGCTCCAGCCTCCAGGTAATCGAGGTCCTCACTCCTGTGTCCCTCTGTTTATTGCTTGTGGTATAGTTGATCAGTGAGGCAGTCCCTCTGTTTATTGCTTTTAGTCAGATGTACGAGAAGCAATGGGAGGTAATGAACAAGTTGGGCCAAGTACAAGAAGTAAAAGGGAGCGCTACAGGGATGATGATGATGACGACATTGGAGATGAAGGGAAAGAAGGGGAAGTTTGGGAAGCTAACGTAACAAAGAGAACGTATTAGAAGATCTTGACTCGGATGCTGAACCTTTTGCTTGCCATTAGCTCGTTTAGAACACTTTTCCTATTTTGTTTTGTGAAACTTGTTCAAGTTGATGTTTTGATGTTGAAAAATATTTAAATTAATGCATTCAATATGTTAAGTTATGTATGCATACATATATATATATATATATACTAGAAGGGTACTCGTGCAATGCATCGAGACACATCTTAATTTCAGTGTTTCGTTTTATTCCTGTTTTATGTCGATATAATACGGTTTTATGTGGTTTTGAGAAAGCGAAAATGTTTTTATTTTTGAATAAAATATAAATTTGAAAATATCATAAACTTTTGAAAAACAAAATATCGATATCAGTATCAAATTAATCTTTTTAAAAATTCTCGTGTTTTGGTGTAATTTCCTTAATTAAATTTTTTTATTATAATTTAATTTAGGTTTAGTAACAACGAAATTTAATTTAGATTTAATAATATAATTTTTTATAAAGATAATAACCAAGTATTTTGTTAGAAATCAATGATTATCCTAATTATATTTTAGATTTTTTATATTTAAAATGAGATGTTTATCCAATATTTGATTGTGTTTATCTGCAGTTAGTTACACGAATTCAAATACGAAGCTCTAACAAGTTGTACTTATGCACAATTACTTGTAATCTTAATTTTAAGTAATATGCATTAATAAACAATACTTCATGTATAAAAAATGGTTTTTAAGAGTTTTTGTCAAATGCTTTATAATATAGTATAGATATATATACACATATATTACATATATAAGCGGGAGTTCAAACGAGAACCCTCTGTTTTGAGAAAATGCGAGAGCAATTGTGAGCCTAACCATTTTAACAATAACCTTAAATTATAGTAAATAAAACTAAATCAATAAGGGTAGTAATGTAATTAGATATTTTTTATGTTATTTTAATTAATTGTAATTATCCCATTATTTTAAATTGGAATATGATCATGTCGAATCTCACTTCCCCATCGTTTTCTGCATTTGCATAGGTTACTGTCTACTCGAATTTGCCTTAATCAAGTGATAATCGAACTATGATATTTGTGTGCTACACATTAAGAGTATTGATTTATCGAGTTCTCATTATGTTAATCGAACAGTGACAAATGTGACAGATCTTACCTGTGATAATTGTGTAATACATTTGAATACACAAGGTTAATGAATACACAAGTTTGCTATCAATTGTTGCTATCGACTCAGATTGTGCTATCGACTGTTACTCCTAATTGATTACAGGCAATCATTGAGCCATAATAAGTAACAAAATCACCGTGAAAAAACAATCTCAATAGCCAAAAAACAGTGACAGAAGTTGCAACTATTTTTTGAGTTATGGGTTTAAAAAACCAAGTGTACAATACACCCATTTTGCAAAAGCAGTCTCAAGAGTCAATCTGATAATTGTGTGATACAGTATCAATGTTATTGAGGACCACGATAACCGCTATTTCAAATATCAGTCCAGGCTGCTATTTTGTATCTTAACCGCAGTAACAGCATAGATTCCATCATAATCTTCATAAAAAGATTCACAAGATATCCAATTGTTACTTCTTCATCAGAGTGAGCGCTACTAAGAAGAAGCTAAGAAATTTTGCTAAAAATATTTCTCATCTTTGGGGAAAGATAGATAGTTCCACAAGTAAATGTTTGGTACTCTAGGAATAACCACTTGTCAACGTTCCCTTGATTCTCATGGAACAAACACATGAAATATACCGTTCATATAGCAAACTTTAAGCATCTATTTGCCCTTACATAGCATTTTTGAACCAAAATCTCTACATGATATATAACAAAAGCACTAAAACCCACATATATGAATGGATGTACTGGTGACAGGGTGCATCATTACAACCATGGTTATAAAAATCATTAGAGGGTTACACCTCGAGGTGAGGCGGCCCAAACTGCACCTCAAGCAACGCTTCTTGGACCCTAGATGAGGCTTGCGCCTTGGTTCAGCGAGGCCGTTTGGCGAGGCATGAGGCGTAAGGCGGTGTCGAGGCGTACGCCTCAGATGATCTGATTTGGTAAAGGGATCTTTGACCTTTTTATAAGCTTTAAGGCAGTAGTAGTACATATCTTTATAGTATAAGAATCTTTTATTTTAAACAGCTAAAAATCAAAGCCTAATGTCCCCAAATGTGTACTTGTAATATTTTAAAACCCAAAAAACTAGAACTTTCTCCTCTCAATCAAAAAGTGTGTTTGACCCTTCCTTTTCCTCCAAGCAACCAATTTTTCCACACCCTCTCAACCTATCTAACGGTTTCACTCCTTCCTCTATCAAGAACCACTGAATCAGCGCCTCTTAGTAATTATATATAATATAATATATCTATACAAATGTGTATATATTTGTGTAGTATATATACGTATTTTGCTTTGAGGCCCGAATCCTTGTTTTAAAACCTTGATTACAACCCTCATCTATGCAAAACAATGAGACCCATAGAACCACAAAACATGCAAGAAAACATGCTAGATGCGAACAAAGCTAATATGTCTGGAGACAGTACCTATCAAATTCATCAATGCAGCAAAGTCCACCATCAGCTAAGACAAGAGCTCCAGCTTCTAGCATCCATTCACCTGTAAAAAAATTCAATGACGCATTTTACCTTACCAAACAGAGTTCAGAGTGAATTCCCTCAAAGGATATACTCGACTTGCTTATTTGTAGCCACAAAAGAGCTTTTAAGGAAGATTAAGCTTTGACCATCCTTTATTTCCCCAGAAAAGTATAAGAGACGTGTTAAGTATGTCATCCTTTATTGCCAGAAAGATAATTGGTTTATGATTAACTCTTAGTTTTCAACCAGTCTATACATAAGCAGCATAAGCCTTGACCAACTTTGTAAGCAGGTCATGCACATCTCTCAACTGTTATTTCATCTTCGATCCCAATGGAATTCCATTTACATAACATCAACTTGCATAAGGTGGCATAAGAAAGTTTCCTGCATTCACAAAAATTCTCAGGGATGGACTTGGTTTTAGGTCCAAATGTAGGACAGATTTGAGAATCATGCAAGTTCCTCTGGACCACCTTGGGCGATGCAAGCATGCAGGGACGGACCCAGAAATTTTTTCAAACAGTGACACCATTTGACCATAAGAAAAAATTATTTGGAAAATTTTCAAATGGTGGCACCGTTTGACTATAAGAAACAAATATACGGAATTTTTTTCAAACGGTGACACCATTTGACTAAGAAAATGACACTAACAGGATTCGAACTTGGGTGTGGGGTGGAATAAAAGCCTTGCAAACCAACTCTACCAAATAAAACTTGTTCTCATTGTAGTTTCAAAATACATACGGTGGCACACAACAAATTAATACGGTTGCACCATTCACGAAACCTAATTTTTTTACCCTTCGGCGGAGAAATAATACGGTGGCACGTCCCACCTATACCACAAGCCTAGGTCCGTCCATGCAAGCATGTGCATAGACAGTAGGAGAGGGAGAGAACAACAAAATTCTAACATTTTCTTCAAAATAGGGATATCATTAAACAAACAAACAAGTCTCACCTCCATCCTTGACTGCAGTGACGGTTAATCCAGCACTACTGCTTCCCAACCCAGTAGTAATTACAGATCTTTTGCTCAACTTAGCAGCAAATTTCAAAAACTGGGACTTTCCTGTACCTGAAAATTTACATAATTGGATAACGTTGATAGACTTCAGAGTATAAAGACATATTCAAGAAGGAAAGAGAGGAGGGCAAATTAATAAAATAAAGATAAAACAAGTCTTGGATAAGTCATAAGTCCTCAAGTTTACATATAACTATCTTATGTTTATCTTAATTGTTTTATTTGTTTTTCTTTAGGATCCATCTTATTCTAGGAGTCTTTTACTTATTACTTTAAATACCTTCCTTGTTTACCTTTTTGGAATAGAAATCAATTTATTATAATTCAATTCTCTACAATTGAATAGGGAGAGACTGCAGCCTCTCGAAAGCTGTAGGGTTTTAATACTCTAATCTTGACAACCTTTTATCGACTCTTATCAAATTGGTATCAGAGTCTACCGCCGCTGTTCTGGATTAGTAATCGTGTTACTATCCACGAATTACTGTTCGCGATCGCTGTTCACTATTCACTATTCATGAATCACTGTTAAGGATTAGTATTCAAGCGATAATGACTCGATCAACAACATCAAGGATGGACGAGGTGGAGGGAAGCTTGAGAACGGTCCAAACGGGAACTCGCTGAAGGACGACATGCAGAATGTGATCAAACAAATGGAAACAATATTTATATTGCAAGAAGAAGCGCTTAGGAGAACGGAGAAGAGTGGGGGAGAGGATGAAAGCGAAGACAGTGAACAACCAAAAAAGGCGGACTATCACGTAGACAAAAACTACGATATTGGTCGGTTTCTTGCGATAAGGGGGAGGAAACTAGAGTTACATGTGTTCGAAGGGACAGACCAGACGATTGGATATTGAGGGCTAAAAGGTATTTCGCTCTTAATAAACTAACCAATGAAGAAAAACTAGAAGTCTCGGTCATTGCTTTTGAGGGTGACGCCTTGCTGTGGTTCCAGTAAGAGAATAAGAGGAGACCCATTAGGCTATGGGCCATTAGGCTATGGGAAGATTATAAACATTACTGCTTCATCGGTTTAGACCAGTAGGGGAGGGATCTTTATGTGAGCAATTCTTGGCCGTTAAGCAAGACGGCACGGTGGCAGAATACAAAAGAAGGTTTGTTATGTTGGCATCCCCGTTAGAAGGGATTCCAGATGAAGTTTTCGTTAGTCAATTCTTAAACGGGTTGAGTCCACAAATCAGGACAGAAGTCCGCACCCTCGCACCGGTGGGATTGGGAAAGGCCATGGAACTAGCTCAAAGGATAAAGAAAAAAACAAGACTTTAGCAAGAATAAATAACCAAAAAGGTAGCTGGTTGAACAAGCGTAATGGAGAAGGATCTGTGGGAAACAAGGGATTTGTTGAAGCCTCCAACAAGAGTAGTGGACAGAGAGGAAAATCTGTCGGGGAATTCAGAAGGTTGTCCAATCAAGAAATTCAACAACGTAGGGATCAAGGTTTATGTTACAGGTGTGATGAGAAGTATTCTTCGAGTTACCGATGCAAAAAAGAAGAAGCTTAGCGTGTTGGTAGTTCAAGAGGCGAAAGAGTACAACGTCGATGAAGACGCGGAAATGGGGGAGATGACAGAATTGGCGGGGATAGAAACGGGAGGAGAAGTGGAAGTATAATTGAATTCAATAGTGGAACTGTCAACAACGAAGACTATGAAGCTAGAAGGAGAGGTAATAGGCCAAAAGGTAGTTGTTTTAATTGACAGTGGGGCTTCCCACGATTAGCCACGATGTTAGTTGAGAAACTCGAGTTATCTACAAGAATCACAGAAGAATATGATATCTCAATGGGAGCGGGAGAAGCCATGAAGGGACGGGGGGTATGTCAAGGAGTGAAGCAAAGTATGCAAGGAATTGAAGTTGTGGAATAATTTTTTCCCATTAATTTGGGGAACTCGGACGTAATATTAGGCGTTAAATGGTTTGCCTCACTGGGACCAACATGGGTGAATTGGCAAAACCAGGTTATGAGATTCAAAAAGGGAGGGGAAACCCTAACCTTAAAAGGAAATCCAGCTCTTGGCAGATCCCTAGTATCATTAAAATCGATAATGAAGACACTAAGGAATGAAGGACAAGGACAAGGGGTGTTAATTGAATTAGGAAATGTGGAAGCTGGGAACAAGGGTAGCAAAACGTTATCGGACAACATGGAGAAACTAATAAAGGAGCATGAGGCTGTTTTTTGTATGCCAGACGGGTTGCCACCAAAAAGAGAAAGAGAACATGGGATTGTGCTTAAGCAAGAAGTAGAACCGGTCAATGTCTGCCCTTATCTTTACCCGCAATACCAGAAGGATGAGATCGAAAAATTGGTCAAAGAAATGTTGAGTGCAAGAATAATCCAATATAGCCAAAGCCATTCTCAAGTTCAATACTTTTGGTTAAAAAGGATGGGAGTTGGAGATTTTGAGTTGACTATAGAGCTTTGAATAAAATTACATTACTGGACAAATTTCCAATCCCGATAATTGAGGAGTTGCTTGATGAATTACTCGGGACTGCTTATTTTTCAAAACTGGATCTTAAATCTGGCTATCATCAAATCAGAATGAAGGAGGACGTACACAAGACTGCTTTTAGAACACATGAAGGCCACTACGAGTTTTGGGTTATGCCTTTCGGCCTATCCAACGCTCCATCCACATTTCAAGCACTGATGAACAATATATTTCGACCTTTTTTAAGAAAATTTGTGCTGGTATTTTTTGACGTTATTATGGTGTAAAGTAGGGGAGAAAGTGATTATGTAAAGCACTTAAGGGAGGTCTTTAAGGTGTTGTTGGAAAACAACTTGTATGTGAACAGGAGAAAGTGAGTTTGGCCAAGAAGAACTGATATATTTAGGGCACGTGGTCTCAAAAAACGGGGTGTCCATGAATATGACAAAAGTTGAGGCATTGCTCAAATGGCCAACACCAGAAACTGTAACACAACTAAGGGGATTTTTGGGTTTAACTGGGTACTACAAAAAATTCATCAAGGGGTATGGGAATATTGCAAGGCCTTTAATGGATTTGTTGAAGAAACAAGGATTCAAGTGGCAAAAGACAGCTGATGTGGCCTTCGAAGAATTAAAGAAGGCATTGACTTCAGCCCCAGTTTTGAAGCTGCCAGATTTTAGTTAGCCATTTGAAATTGAAACAGACGCATCGGGCCAGGGCTTTGGGGCGGTATTAATGCAAGGGGGACAGCCTATCGCATACCACAGCCAAGTTCTGGGTCAGGTTGCTCAACAGAAACACATATATGAGAAGGAACTCATGACCATCGTATTTGCTGTAACAAAGTGGCGACCATACTTGATCGGAAGGAAGTTCGTTGTAAGGACAGACCAACAAAGCTTGAAGTTTTTATTGGAGCAAAGGTTGGTGGAACCACAATACTAGAAGTGGTTAACCAAGCTTTTGGGGTACGAGTTTGGAATCATTTACAAGGCAGGAAAGACAAACCAAGCAGCAGATGCACTATCAAGAAGAGACATAGAGTGCTTACAATGGGGGGGACCTCAACGGAGGCAATGGGAGACAATCAAAGAGGAAATAACCAATGATTCATTTCTAAATAGGGTGATGTCCAAGCTACAATCACAAGAAAGGGTGCACACAGGATTTGAAGTAAGGCAAGGTTTATTATGGTACAAGGATAGGTAGGTAATCTCGAAGTCATCACAATTGATTCCTATCATTTTCGAGGAATTTCATGCATCACCAATGGGGGGACATTATGGGGGGGAGAGAACGTATCAAAGAATAGTCTCTAAATTGTTTTGGGTGGGCATGAAGGGAGATATAAGGGAATGGGTAAAGAAGTGTGAGATCTGTCAAAGAAATAAAAGCCTAAGTGGAACACTTGCTGGCTTGTTGCAACCAATTCGACTATCGCTAATGGTATGGGAGGAATTAACTATGGATTTTATAAGACTACCCAAATTGGAGGGCATGGATACAATTATGGTGGTAGTCAATCGGTTAAGCAAATATGCTCACTTCATTCCGTTAAAACACCCATTTTCAGCAGCAACGGTAGCCGAAGTTTTTATACAGGAGATTGTTAAACTGCATGGCATTCCGAACTTGGTGATCACGGATAGGGATAAGGTTTTTCTTAGCAGTTTTTGGAAGGAGATTTTCCGATTACAAGGTACAAAGTTAAAGTTCACCACATATCATCCACAGTCCGACGGACAAACGGAAGTTGTCAACCGCAACATTGAGCAGTACTTACGGTGTTTTACGTCAGACAAGCCATGATTATGGAAGAGGTGGCTGGCATGGGCTGAATATTGGTACAATACCACGTACCAGAGCTCCATTCGTTGTTCACCGTTTAAAGCATTATATGGGAGAGATGCTCCAACAATATTGCGATTTAAAGAAGGCTCAACCGTTGTTCCAGTCGTGGAGCAAATGTTAAAAGACAGAGATGATGCGATTGATTTGCTACGAATGTTCTTAATGCAAGCACAACATAAAATGAAACAACAGGCTGATGGACAAAGGAAGGAGGTAAATTTGATGTTGGATATATGGTTTTCTTGAAGCTTAGGCCTTACCCACAGAAATCTTTAAGGAAAAGCAACAACCAAAAGTTGACCGCGCGTTTTTATGGACCATTTAAAATGGTAGGCAAGGTGGGAAGGGTGGCTTATCGCTTGGAATTGCCAACATCTACACGACTCCATCCAGTGTTTCATGTCTCTCAATTGAGAAGAGCAATCGGACAGTGCGCCTTGTCAACCATATTGCCGAATCAATTGAATGACGATATGGAAATAATAGTAGAACTGGAAGATATCCTACAAGTACGAACAACACAGGATGGAAGACAAGAGGCATTAATCAAATGGAAGAATGTACCTGTGTTTGAAGCCTCCTGGGATGATTGTGAAGTGTTGAAGATGCAATTTCCTTCTTTTCATCTTGAGGACAAGATGCAAGTCTTGCGGGGGGTATTGATAGACTTCAGAGTATAAAGACATATTTAAGAAGGAAAGAGAGGAGGGTAGATTAATAAGATAAAGATGAAGCAAGTCTTGGATAAGTCATAAGTCCTCAAGTTTACATATAACTATCTTATGTTTATCTTAGTTGTTTTATTTGTTTTTCTTTCGGATCCGTGTTATTCTAGGAGTCTTTTACTTATTAGTTTAAATACCTTCATTGTTTACCTTTTTGGAATAGAGATCAATTTATTATAATTCAATTCTCTACAATTGAATAGGGAGAGACTGCAGCCTCTCGAAAGTTGTAGGGTTTTAATACTCTAATTTTGGCAACCTTTTATCGACTCTTATCAAACGTCAATCAATCTTTTTCACCTATTTCACCGGTATTTCCAAAGAGAGGAGACCAAATTTCCTTTTTACTCGGACACAAACAGAATGAAGACAGATGTGAGAGTATGCTACTGACCACTTCAAAAACTTAATAATCTTATCCTCTCTTATAGTGCGTAAGTTAATAACATGACTGAGATTTGTTATTTTGAAATTAACTTTTACACATCACCATCAAATTTCAACTAAGGTAAACAGCGGCCTCTCAGATATATATAGTGAAAAGAATTTCATGGTTGCACCTTGAGAACATATCCTGTAGAAAAGGCATATAATCGATTATAAACATAAATATTCTGCAAAAAGCCCACCATGGAAAACATGTGATTAAGGATGGGTAAGATAACATAAAGCTTGCATGAAAACATGTGACAGGGAGACTGATCTTTTCCCTATTACAATAGGATTGCACCAAGAGCATCAAAAACTTGCCTTTTTGTTTTGGTTACAGATCAGCTCAAAAAGAATACAACATACCATAGTGTACGCTTTTACACCAATTATATTGTGTTAATTAATGAGATAAAGATAACCCTTAATGTAAGGGTTTTAGACTAATTTGAATTTGAATGGCAATTTTTTGATGGATATCTTCCGGTATTTTTTATGTTGCATTTGAAGATAGATCTTTAGATTGTCATGTCGTTCTTATATGTTCCTAGCCCTTATGTATTTGCTTGTGTGACCTCTTTTACTGTTTCCAGTCTTGGTTCCTTATAAACAATAGGCACCTTCTTGGTCCCAAAAGGGTAACAATATGGCAATAACACGTAGAGGGGGTGAATACAGCGTTTTCTAAGTTCTAATTTCTTTATTAAAAACTTAATTCTTTACCAAACAGAAACTGTTGCGGAACAGATTCAGTACCAACTGATGTTAGTAAATCAAACATTTCACACACTGACAGACGCTTTCTTTATTGGCACTCAGTTAACAAAGCTAAGAAGATCTTCCTTGAAATGTTAGTCTAAGTTATAACCTATTTACTAACTGATGAGTCAAGCCTTGAAATTCTTTGAGGGAAAACTTCTTTAAGAGTTGAGAAGTTCACGCACAGCTCTTTACCCATGATCTCTATTTATACTTGAAGGGACGGAGGAAGAGAACAAAAACTTTGAATAGATCATTCACCAAATCTATCACAAAGATATTGTTGCCAACTTGGGCACCATGTTTCAGCTTGATGATCTCAGGCGAGGGTATGTTTCCTCCATGCATTAAATAGGTCAGAGACCAAGAAGTTGCAAAGTTCCTTTGTCTTTTTCTCTCTTACTTGAAAAGGATAGATAATACTTTAGCTGACAGTCCACTGGATAAAAGAGAGGTTTACCAGACCCACTGCTAGTCTGTCAGTGGCAGTGGATGTCTTCAGATCAACTAAAGCTTATGCTTGATTAGTAGCTAGGCTTCCCATTGATACCTTCATCATTGGTTCAACACTTATCCACTTGATCATATTCATTTGAAAACTTATCAGTAGATCTTGTTCCTTCGACTGATGATGATTCTTGATTATCATCAAGTATGAATTTGTTCACTGTCAGTGGCTAAGATCAGTCGATTGGTCATCAATGGATACATCAATTGATGACTAAAAAGTCTTCAATCTCTTAATATTTTAGGGGCTGTTTGGCGGTTGCTGAATGGTTTAGTGCAGGATGATTAAGTGGTCAGGATGATTAAGAGACTCTGTATGATTTAGTGTCAGATAGAAAAAAGGTTGTTTGGAAACTGTTCTGAATGAACAGTCTGAATGACATAAAATTACCATTTTACCCCCCAGTCTTGTATTTAATGAAAATTAATGTT